ATGTCAAGAACCGGCCCTGCATATGACCCACTTTTAATAAAGATTAATTTTGAAATGGGTGAAATGTTCCTTTAAGCAGTTAAATGTAAAAGCAATGGGTTGGTCACTATAAACACGCATTACTGTAAAACCGAACATTTCCTGCTCTCAACAAGCTGTGCTTACTTGCATATGTACAACAAGAAAAAAGCGGGTGGGGACTGTTGCCGTAATGGAAACATATTACACAGAAGCAGCATTGAGTTTGAGCTTCTTTCTACTCTTATAGGTGTGTGAGGAGGTTATAATGACCTGAGTCAGAGTGAAGAACACTAGGCCACTGTCTGCTCGGACACAGTTCCTCCCTCTCACGCAGAAGCTCAATCTGATTGGTTAATAAAACTGACTTTCTGTGATGTCACACTGTGCCTTATGTCATGGTACCAAAGAAAACACAAATACATATTGCTGCAAGCTAAAGATTGGCTTGAATACCAAAGTATTTGTCAAGATCTCACTTTAGTGTGGAGGTGACCGTTTTGACAGTGTCCAAATATCTGTGTAGAAAACCGGCGGCTATGGTTGCCAGAAATTTACCTTAATAAATACAGTAGCAACATTTTAGGTTTTATAGACTTAACTTAAATTTACAGTAAAAAAAAAAAACATTTCATTATCTGATACAGTATAATGTTAAGTTACTGATACATACACTAACAGCCATCAATCACAGTTGTGATTAGAGTCACATGATGAATCTAAGCTCATAAAACACAACTTTTCTACAAGTTGAGAAAGTAAATAATAATATAAGTAGAAGCTGCTGCAGTCTCATTCACACAAACACTAATAAATATTAATTTAAGAACATTAAATGTAACGAAACACTAATGTGCATAACTGATTAGAAAAAACAAAACAAAAAACTATGAAGAAACAGTTATTTCAACAAAAATATATAAAATGTGGAGTGTCACAGGTAATTGTGGGAATGTCAATTTACGTTTTTTCACTGTAAATTATACAATTTGTTCTTTTTCACATCCAAAAACTGTACATTTAATGGTAACTGTAAATTTAACGGTTTAAAAATGTACAGTTAGATCTATCACAGTTATTCACCGTATATAGTACCACAGTGTGGGGTTTCTATTCTTAAACAGTTGGAGATGAAGATGATTCATTAAACTAATCAGACAATTTCAGACAACAGGCCACAAAATCCTGTCTGACATCAAGTATGCTGCTGCCCTTGAGGAACAGCCCATGGAGTCACTAAAAAAACAGAAAAGTGCAGATTTTACTGAAGTGGAGTGTGATTTTGATTTAATGTGGCTAAGCACTGTTTTTGTTCACCCACAAAGCCTCCTTCATTTTGCTAATTGATTACTGAAGCCCGACTACTGTCAGCTCCTGTTCTCTCACTAGCGCTGATGCTAATCCTTCACTAAGACCCTCACATGCACTTACAACCAATCAGTTGACATGACGGACCACCACACTTGATACTTGAGCCAGTGCAGGGTTCAAACTATGGGATATGTGTGTTTCTACATGGAAATATGTTTTGATGTGAAATGAGTGACACATCTTTAACATTGTTTATGTTTTCATACGATTTGCATTATTTATACATGTCATGGGATTTCCTGACACATTTTGTGTCGTTTCAGTGAGTCTGTTTGAGTGACGTGCTTGATCTTTAGTGGTGAGTTTCTGTAATTCACCACTAGAGAGAGCTGGATGATCACTGTTTGTAATCTCACAAGGTTTCTGAGACATGCTGGTCAGTTTGATTGTTGATTGTCATTTCATTCCATTTACAGAAGCTTCATAATATGTGATGGAATCAGTAGTTATATTCTCAAAAAGTTTTTTTTAATCAAAAGTCGCAGTGCCTGAATACCACAATAAGTGCTTTGAGAGGTTGAATTCTGCAATAATTGGCTGTTAGAATATATTTTCTCTGTATAAATACTTGCTTTTTGTAAGAAATGTGATGCAAAATAAGGACTTAATTCGTGTCTAGCTCTTAATTCATGCTCTGGCATTTAGAGGACAGTACTGTCTAATTGCTCTATTAGGCATAATGCCCTTGAGCGGAGGCCACGGTTGCTAATTGAGACTTTTCTATTGACAAGAAATTCACAGTATTGCACAGCTGATGGCTTTTGACAATAAACCAATTACTGAATGTTATTGGGGTACAGGAAAGGGTAGAGTGTGGTTGGTTGGATGGGAACATCATCTTATCCTGCTTAACCTTTGGGTCTCAATTAAAGGCTAACAGTTTGAGTTCCTTCATGTTCACATGATGGGATGCTATGGCAAGCTGACCCTCTGCTTTCCTTATTATTGACCTTTACACTCCAAAAACCTCTTTTTTCAGGATACATTAAGAGTTATGCTTTAAAGTACACAGAGTCAGGATTTGACACAACAGGATTCATTACTGGGATGAACAGATGCAACCGATTGGTTAATTTCGTCAGATATATTTAGTGGATTTAAAGGCTGAAGGGCATTAAGACAAGTATTTGTTTAGGTTAGAGTTGTCCACCCTTTAATGATTTACTGTAAAAAATTTAAGTGAGTTTTTTTTAACAGTTTTTGAATATGAAGACTTTAAGTCTTAAGGCTTAGACAGCTATTAGTATCCTTGGACAATAGCGTTCTGTCTATTCAGTGTGTGCTGTAGATGTGTCGTATACGCTTTAAATGCCTACGCTCAGTTTCTGTTTGGTTGTCAATGTTTTTATCATTCATCAGCTGTAAAAAAAAATATTCTGAATGATGTCGTTTCACTATGTGCTTGTTATCGTTCTTGTTTTATAGTTTTAGTGGGAATGTCCCCTTTGCCCCTTAATTCAGATCTACATGAAGATGTCCATGTCTTCTCCCAACAACCTGATTGTAGAGCCCTAACAATCTGCAACAATCTCAAGCACACACTGTCACTCTATGGATCAGAACAGACTCTCTTTGTCACTGTTGATGTTCTGTGATCACTGAGCTGTGGAGACTTGGCTGATGAATTTGGCTCAATATTTCCATGCCCTGGTTTTTCCCTCTGTTTGCAGAATACAAACTCCTAGTTTTCCCAAGTTTCTGGACATATGAGGCCTTCCATAATATGACTGCCATTCTGATAGCTGTCTGATTGTCTGATTTAATCATTATTTTGAAAAACATAACTTATATTCAGCAAGGATGCATTAAGTGACATATCATGAAAATCGAACTTTTTCCGCCATAATGGTGTCCCCGGTGCATCTACCAACCCAGAAAACATGAAAAGTGACAACCCAGTAACTTTGTTTTGGGAAGCCTTTCTATGCAAGCATGTCAAAAACTAGCCGATCACATTTCGTTACCTTTCTGACGTAGGAAGGGGATAATAATCAAGCGTAGCACCAGTTCTGGCAGGTCACGTTAGTCAAGCTTGCATCAGCTGACTCTCAGCTGATCCACGTCTACCTATAGGACTATGACGCCTATCACCATGTTCATATATAAGCTCCTTCAGGATTTCCGGCAGCTATCGCACTTCTCAGGAGCCAATTCCCTTCCTCCATCCCCAGCTCCTCCTCCTCTCGTCAGTCAGGATTTGGCATTCTGATTCCCCTGAATCAGACTTAAATTCTCAAATTATGTTGTCATCAAAATTAATGAACGATATCTGCTATACATTCAAGTTGGTTCTGTTCTGTTTACCCTAAGGGGGATTATTGTTGCTCTCCCTGCTCTTATCCATGGGTGCATGAATGCGCAGGGAGTTCTCGGACAGAACGGAACCATACCGCCAATCCAAACTGTATGCTAATTGTCAATCATATTTGACGATAGTGGTCCTGACAGAATTATAATATTACCACCCCTTAATCTGCACGTTTCCTCCCATCCGAAGCTCATTTAAAGGATCGACCGTCTTCTGAATGGGCGGGGAGAAGCAGCTCATATGCATGTAAAGGGACACGCACAAAAATGGCCTGTTTTTGCTCACACCCAAAAAGGGGTAAATTTGTCAAGCTATAATACACAGATTCTTGGGACAAATTACATCTTGTGAAAAGGGGCATAACAAGTCAGCTTTAAAAATGTCAGTAAAGACATCTATTAGTGTTACAAACAATTTCTATGAATAAAAAATAATGATAATATTATAATATAATTAAGCAGCAAGACTGTTTTCAACATCGATAATAATAGGAAATGTTTTATGAGCATTAAATCAGCATATTAGATTGATTTCTGAAGGATCACGTGACACTGAAGACTGGAGTAATGATGCTGAAAATTTAGCTTTGCCATCTCAGGAATTAATTACATTTTAAATATATTCAAATAGAAAATAATTATTATTACTGTATTTCGTATCAAATATATACATGCTTGTTTGGTGAGCATGAGAGACTTAAAAAATAAAAAATAAAAAATCTTACTGACCCATGTCTTTAGTGTCTTGAGAAACATGTTTTCTTATCAATGTTGAAAACAACTGAATTTTTTTTTTTAAACATGATAGTTTTCTGAGGATTCTTTGATGAATAGAAAGCATTTATTAGAAATAGAAGTCTTTACTTTCACTTTTGATCAGTTTAATGAATCATTTCACTCCTGCTCTGTTTTATTATCTTCTTTACCTTCCTGAACTTTCACTAGAACTGAATCCTAGTGGCACTGGACATGTCTTCTCATGGAAGTGTGCTGCTCCCTGCACTCAGTGTGACTTTGCTTGCACTATATCTTTATAAGATAAAGAAAAAACATTTAGCAAGCTTTAAAGCTCTCCATAGCTGCACACTGTTGTGAAATCCTAATTTTTGTAGGCAAACTTCCTTGCCATGGGCTGAATGTTTGTCAGAGGTGGTAATAGGTGGAGGGGGTTTAAGGAGGGGGCCGAAGTGGGGGTCAAAGGCTGTGCGTTCTCCCTGTGTGTGTGTTCAACAATCCCATTATGATGGCGTAGAGAATCGGACATTTGGCTGCCCTGCCGAATACCAAAGTCTGCGTGGTGCACTGGGGTACCGAGGGGGTTCCTAGGGGGTACAGGCAGCAGTCGTGCGGGAGGAGCGACATAGCACGTTCTGGTTGTTTTGCAACAACGGTCGAAGCACGCTCATCTACCTCGCTCGGCCAAGCAGCATGGCGGTCCCGGTGCTGCCCCTGACCTGTCTGGTGCTCCTGAGCCTGGTCAGAGTCTCCTCTCAAATCCAATGGTTCAAGTTTCTATGGGTCCCAGAGACGATCTCACCCACTCCTGCTGTCACCACACCTGCACTCTTCACTACAGCTTCAGAGGAGAGTATAGCCTTCCCAACCTCCCCTTCTCAGCCCACAGAGGGATCCAGCAAAGCCCGAGCTAAGAAACCTCTCCGAATGTGGAAGAGTGGTGAGTGTCGGTGCGCTGTATACAATGTTTGTCATTTTTACAGAAAAATACTGTAAAATGCTACGATAAAACCTGTTGATTGGTTAAACGTACGTCACCCTACCATAATTGGTGAAGAGCTTTACATAGTTTATTGCATAATATATAATTTTACTGTAAAATGCTGTAAAAGTTTAAGTTTTTGCTAGTGAAAAATATAAAAATTTATGGTGAAAAACAGTAAAAGGACATTTGCAGAAGTCCCTGTGTTTCGCAACATGATTTGTATTGAAATCATTTATAATTAAATACTAAATAATTTGGTTTCTTCATATTTTTGTTATCAGTAATGTATATTAGTATGTTTTGTGTTCCATTTTATGTTGTTTAGCTAATGTTTGTTGCATTATTTTAGTGTTGTGTGTTACCTTGATGGTGTTTTATGTTATATCCTGTGCACCAAATGAATATTGGCAATGTTTAGTGGAAAGGCCATATACAGTGAACTCTGTTTCACCATGACAGGGGTGAAACCGATTGTAAAATATACAGGCATCCTGTAAACATTGTCAAAGTATATTTTCAGTGAATTTTGAAATTCAGTGAGTTTTGAAACATGTTTGTGAAAGACCAGCCATTTTCAATGTTAACCCGAAGACCCAAACATCCTCGCTGACCAAATATATTTAGTTTCATTGAGGATTTCATAATATATTTTGTAATAAACCAACCGGTCTTGTTAGTTTAACTTATTCAAATGTAATTTGGATTTGTGCAGTTGAATCATTACTGAGATAATGTTTCACCCATGAGGCTAACAGGTAATAAAACACAACTTTACTCTAAACTTCAACTCTAAAATGTTTCTAATTGTGCCATGCCGTTGTGTGAGAGAGATCAACCTGGTGGTGTTCGAAGAGCTCTAAATCCCTATCACATGATATTATAATAATAGGATTAGCAGCAGGAGGTTTTCTGAAAATTGGGGTCGTTGGTGGAGCGTCGGTTACAGGTCCATCTGCTGATTACAAGCATAGAGGAAGATGTTGAAATTAACCCTGGGGTCCAGATGTGTTCCTTAAGATCTCATTACTTCATGCAGTCACTGAGGCACTTTTACTACATGTCTCTTCATTGCATTTGAATGTGATGTGGAGTTTACTGTAGTACGTTGTGTTTACTAAATCTAAGAAAGTTTGTTGCTGTGTGTACTTTCAGTACAAGCTGCCGTGAACTGTGATTCATTTACATACAGCGGTCATGTGGTATTAAGTTTAAGCTTTCAGAAACTTATGAGTTTGTAATTATGAGTTCTACAAGGATGTGAACACTTACTACAAGTCGGAATCTTGTCATTATGAGATGAATGCATCTTAATAAGCACTGTCTGAGACTGATCACTGTTTGTATCACTACGGTTGTCTCTGCACGTTCCGGGATATATCTAGCTGCAGAACCACTGTAATACCAGTAATGTTTTGCTATGTTACCCACCAAAATGGGGATGTTGACATAATTTTGTGTGAATTTGTCTAAGATGATTTAAAAGAGAATTCAATGCAGTATTTGCACGCTCACTGAGGCGCAGCATTCCAAGTTTTGCACTTTGCACATAGAAAAGTTCTCTTTCATATTCTTGCACATAAATGTTTAGATTGGCATGGCTTAGAAACATGAGCAAATGATAAACTCATGTGACGTTTACACCCGGGCCATCGAGTCCTGCCCAGTACTTTCGTTATTGTTTTGTGTATGTCAGAATTAGCGATGACTGGCTGTTTGTACGCAGAAGGCAAGGTGTGCTTTCTTGGTCTCATGTGCGCTTGTGTGCTATCAACACCTAGTTAATGATGGCGTAAATAATTAGTCATAATAGAGTCATTGCATTGAGAATATGGCACTGGCAATGAACAAAGTTTACAAAGAGTTTGTTTTTTGACCACTTTTTTCTTTTTTTTGGACCATCTCTGTTGTAATGGATTGGGAAGCCAAAATGTTCCCAGACAGGACATTTATAAGATTTATGCTGCAGCTCTATCTGCGGCTTGTCTCTTTCGCTTGCCATGCTGAACTCTGTGCAACACACCAAAATGTAAGCAAGTGTGATGCCCGCAACAGATTTACATACTAAGAGTTGATTGGACAGAACTCTCATGTGACTAAATTCGCCATTTTATTATTGTCACATCAGTTACCTGAGTCAGATGTGTTTCTTCACTGCCATTCATAAATACTCTCCCGTGGCCTTATGGGATAGTAAAGTGTACACCCCATTACAAAAACATACATGATTTTTGAATTTTAATCAAGTTTTACATTTTTTTTGGTGAACTTTTCTTTTAATAAGCATGAAATATTGTTTAAATGTGTGTTTAGACTTCATTACTTCTAGACTTCATTCCAACACTTTTTTAGACTGTTCATTTATTAGGAGACATGTTTCACAATTGTGAGAAGGAATATTATGACTGTGTATATTGTCCTTCATTTTAATCATTCCCCTTGTTACTGGTTGATTTCTTTCAGAGCGAGGGTCCAAGGGTCATCTAGAGCTCACTGAGCTAGTTGGCGTTCCTCTTCCTCCTTCTGTGTTCTTCATCACTGGCTACGAGGGTTTCCCTGCCTACAATTTTGGGCCCAATGCTAATGTAGGTCGACTGACCCAGTCCTTTGTACCTGAGCCCTTCTTCTTGGACTTTGCTATTATTGTCACCCTCAAGCCCTCCAGCTCTCGAGGAGGGGTCGTGTTCGCCATTACGGATCCCTCCCAGAAGATCGTACACCTGGGCTTGGCCCTGACGCCCGTGGAGGACAAGACCCAGAGGATTGTACTGTATTACAGCGAGCCAGGGTTTGCTGCCACCGTGGAGGTGGCTTCCTTTAAAGTGCCTGACATGACACAGCAGTGGAACCGCTTCACGCTGACTGTCGAGCATGAGGAAGTTCGGCTGTATATGGACTGTGAGCAGTTCCACAGCGCACCCCTGAAGAGAAGCCAGCAGCCCCTCAGCTTTAAGCCGGGCTCAGGCATCTTTGTGGCAAATGCCGGCAGTACTGGCCTGGAGAGATTTGTGGTATGTCACCATCTACATTTTCACAAAACTGATGATATAAGATGAGCTGAAAGGTTTTTTTATTCATACCTTGCTCTTTGCTTTTAAGTCTTGTACTTTTTGATTTTGACGTGCATATGTGCGTTTAGAAAATTGACTGGGGCACAATGACATTCACATTCTTCGCCTTTTTTCATCTATGACTGATCCATGATCAAAGAGGTGCTCAAGGTTATTCACAGCCACCTACAAACTTAGAAATAAAGGTCCTTTATCGGCATCAGTAGTTCCACGAAGAACCTTTAGTGGAAAAATGTTCTTCACACTAAGAAAATTTTTTATTTTAATAACTTTTTTAACTTAGGGAAACCTAAAATGTTTCTTCAATGGCATTACTGCAAAAACCTATTTTTGGAACTATTATTAAGAGTGTCGAGCAACATGAGAGTGTATAGGCAGGCACAAGGAGGCAGTGCTCTGTCATTTGTTTGAGTGATGATGTTTCCTGTGATGATAATCTGAAGTTGGATGGGACATTTTAATTTATTATCAGTTGATATTGGATTAATTGTGCATGCTCATTTTTCCTTTGGCCTCATCTAACACTCAAAGTGAATCTGTAAAACAATTTGAAAATAAATTAATTATTATTGTACATTATAAGGTTGTGATGCCTAACTCAGATTTTAGTTTTTAGTGTTTTATTTAGTATATTTAAACGAAATATTACAGAATTTAAATATTATTTATCTATCGGTTTTCTATGGTAGCCCAGACGTGCTTTGGTAAATCAACATGAAAAGTTTCAATTATGTGTTAAAAACTAACAAAAATCAAAATTCAACATTTGAATTTTAACAAAAAAGTCATAATTTTAACATAAATACCTGTTTATGTCATAACTTGGATTTCTTTTAAGCTTTAATCCTTTTTTATAGCCATTATCGCCCTGACTTTTAATATTGGTGCATATACCTGTTTGGAGCTTTCAGGAGAATCATTTAGTAATTTTGATCATTTTTGATTTATTTATTATTTTTTTTCAAAATAATTTTATAACACAAAACATAAAAATGAAACATTCGAAAATATTACTTTACAAAATCATTAGGTGGCTATAAAAAAAAACCCACCCTAATTTATTCACATTCACAACATGATTTCAAAAAGCTTCTCAGAAGTTTTGTCCTCTGCCTCTTATGATTTGAACTATTCCAGCTGAGGAGCTTTTGTCCCATGAGTTGGTGTGTTATTGTGTTTAGGGAGGCTTGTTGGCATGGAGAAGACTTCAGGAAGGTAGAATCCTTTGTGTTGAATGGTACAATGCTGGGCCTCCCTCAGGAAAAGAAGACCATGATGAACAATGAAATTCTCACATCATTCTGTACAATTGCAGAGAGAAATGATGACACTCTTAAACATGGCTTGTACCCAAAATGTCTTAGGTTGAAACTTCTTGAGAGTTGTAATTGTTGTTGTGCTCTCTTGGAAAAGCACTTTTGAGGTTTGTCAGTTTTGTTGTTGAGCTTTTGTTATTTCATATTTCCCATCGGAGGTAATACTAATGAAAGTTATTGTTATCTGTAATGGATGTACTTGAATGAGTCATTGTTTCATGGTTGTTTGGACCATGACATTTCATAATGTCTTTAATAATGAAAGTAGCTGATGGCCATCATAATTCTCTGCTGAATTTCAATGAATGTGCATGGCTAAAAAAACCCATTAAATCCTAATGAGTAAAGCAGGAGGTGCTTCACCTGAAAGCCTGCTGATAATTGTACAAAATTGATTACTTTCCCTTAAGCGCTGCTGGCACATCTCGAAGTGCTGGATGAACATTTGCTGCTGTTAGAATGAAAATAACACAACAGATTGCATTCTGACAGGAGCTCTTACAGCGCCAGGCAGCACTTATGTATGAACAATCTGCAAAGGCACACAGCAATCTTTTACACAAGCAGCTTGTTTTTGTTTTAAATGGCTGAACCTCCACATTTGTCTATATTTTTCTGTTACTCTCTCTTTCTCTCCTGTTCTGTCAGGGCTCTATCCAACAGCTGGTGATAAAACCAGACCCCAGGGCAGCAGAAGAGCAATGTGAGGAGGATGACCCCAGCGTGAGTGCATTTTCGTTACTCTCTGTCTCTTTACTCTTATTCATCTCAGAATAAAATTACACTGACTTTGACTTTTTTTTAGAAAGACAGATAACTTATAGTAGATTGAAAGGGGATGTTTCTATGTTTCTTGAGCCGGCACTCCCTCTTGTGGTGGAGTTGTTCGGCTCACTGCTGAATGTTTTGCAGGGGGACAGAAGTGGTGATGGTGATTATGACGATCAAGAAGAGTATGGGAGACGTACAGAAATCTTTGGTCAGACAAATGAGAAAGAAGATAAAGAAAAGGTTAGACAGATGCACCTCATTGAACACATTACATCACATTATCTATTAAGCAGATTAAATTAAATATATATATATATATATATATATATATATATATATGAAGAGTTCAGATGCAAAAGCCTCTAAGTGCCATTTGAAATTTTCTTCTAGAATGATCATTTTTATCAAGCTTGTATATTTAAGTTCAGTGATTTCACTTAAATGGCAATGATAATTTCCTATTAATTGTTATTTAAGTGAAATTACTGAACTTAAATATACAAGTTTGATAAAAATCATCATTAAAGAAGAAAATTTCAAATGGCATTTAGAGGCTTTTGCATCTGAACTCTTCATATATATTTAATTTAATATATATATTAATATATATATATATATATATATATATATTTTTTTTTTTTTTTTTTTTTTTTTTTTTGAAAAACAAATAAATTCAATGAATCCAATTATCTAATTTTGTCAAAATTTGTTCCCATCACTAGCATTTACCAGTCCCTCCAGAATTTCACGATTTTTTTGTCTGATTTTTGCGATCAAAATGACTGATTTTGTGGTGGTAATTTCCAAAAATTTGTGAAAAAATTTGCGATTTATATATAACATTTACCATAATAGTATTCAGTCCTTCCAGGAAAACACAGAGTTTTTTTGTGATTGTTGCGGGCAAAAATTGATTGATTACGCGGTAAACTACTGGCAGCTGTGGTTGCCAGCATCATACCGTATATTTATGCAATTTTATGCGATGAAATTGCAGGAATTTGCAAAAATTGAGGGAACTTGCAAAATTGCGGGTGATGAAAAAGAGAAAAAAAGTGATTCCCCCAACACCCTGTTCTCACTAGGCTAATGTAAGAGTCATTTCTTATTACTTCCTTTGATAAGCAAGCATACTACATCATAGAAAGTGCTGGGAATATTTAATTTCTCATCTTGTTTTATTTCAGACTGTAACGAGTGTAAATAAGGTGTGGCCCCTTTAAGAGCTGCGCGCTCCCTGTTGAACTCTCTGCAGTGTTATATGTGCGCCTCGAACAACCCATGTGTGCGGGTAATTTCTGTTTGATGATACTTCTTATATCTTATGTTGTTTATTAAGTAACGATGTGACGGTAGAACGTGTGACAGACAGTTATACGAGTTCGATTTGTGAGATGTCGATCGCCTCCGTGAGTCTGTCTGGTGTCGCGTAATTGCGTCACTTCATAACGTTCCCATGGAAACAGGGGGAAATGGCTGCTCTTGTGTGAAGCAAACGCAACATTTTTCAACTTTCTGCTAAGATACATGTGACTTTTTTGCAACGAAAATGCGAGGATTATAAAATTATGCAAACCCCGCATATTTTGCACGGAAATCGGCAATTAATGCGGCGAAAGTGCGGTGTATTTGAAAAAATGCGGCCCTCGCATAAATATGCGGACTTTGGCTGATTTTGCATTGAATTCAGCGATCGCATAATCGCGTTTTTCTGGAGGGACTGATTTACTATGTACTTTCCCCATAAGAATTAAGGCGTAATTTATTAAATCCATATCCTGGACCATAATACCATTACCAATTAATTGACATTAAATGGGTTTAAATCTTTGGTTGTCTCCCAAATCACGAGATTTACTGCATGTACCCATTCGGTAACAGTTTATAATAACTGTTGGTTAAGCATTAGTTAAGCATTAGTAAACAGTTCATTCAAATTCATCATTTATAAAGCATTAATATACATTGATAGTCTGTTTATACTGTAAATATAGCTATAAAAGCTTTATTCTTGATTTATAAGCATCTGTCTTTAATTGTATTTTCATTAATAATTATTTTTATTAATATTCATTTATCATTTCTAAATGAAGTATTGCATTATTTACTAACCAGTTATTTAAGTTGTCAGTGGTTCATAAGAGCACTTAGAAAGTGCAAGTTAATTATTAATAAACTATTTAAATACATTACATTAAAACATATTATTCAGACATACAGTAGTTGTTACTTAGTGTGTTAATAAATTATTTATTAACATGTATTTCTACTGTAATTCAGGTAGTTATAAAGCATTTAGTAATGGTCAGTTTACTATTTATGTGAGCTCATCTAAAGTGAGGACTATGCCATTTGACAGCGTCTGGCCGAAACTTCTCATGTTTTTTCAAGTTGGCCAGTGCCATGCTGGTGTGTGTTTAGTGCTGGGATACTTGTTTGTTGAAACGATGGAATATGGGGATCAGATGGGGTGGTAGGAGTGTTTAGAAACCTGCAATTCCATGTGGTACCACTACTGATGAAAAAATGACACACTTGACCTTTAAATACTTCTATGAAATACAATTTTAATGTTGTAATGCAGTTTATGTTGTAAGAGTGTTTGTATCAGTTGGTGTATTATTGCATACAGATGCATAGACCCACCTCTCCTGTGCAAGCCCCGCCCACTGTGTCACCTGAAGAGGAAGAGGGGGAGTTCTCAGGACATGTGACCCCTAAAGACAAAAGGCTGCTTGGAGGTGAGGGGACACTCTTTAAATAAGATGAACAATTAGCTTTGTTTTGCCTCTTTTGTGACTGATCATATTTATTATTTTCTAGATTAGTACACTACTGGTCAAAAGTTTGTTTTTTACATTTTTTTGAAAGAAGTCTCTTATGCTTAATTCACTATGACATGGTCCTTCTAATATGTTGATTTGGCTCTCAACAAATATTTCTTATTATTATCAATAATTAAAACATTATTTTTGCTGCTTAATATATTTGTGGAAAGATTTGGAGTAAGAAAGTTTAAAAATTAATACTTTTATTTCAGAAAGGATGGAAGACACATTGATTAAAAGTGACAGGAAATACATTTACAAAATATTTCTTTTTCAAACAAATGCTGTTCTGCTGTTCATATTATGCGGCTCAACTGTTTTAAACTTTCATAATAATAAGCAACGTTTCTCAAGCACCAAAAATATATTACAATGATTTCTGAAGGATCATGTGACACTGAAGACTGGCGTAATGATGCTGAAGATTCAACTTTGCCATCACAGGATAATGTACTTTTTTAATTATAATTAAATAGACAGCCTTGGTGAGCAAGAGACTTGTTTCATAAATATTACAACATCTTTATTCCAAACTTCAGCAATTAAATCTTAATATTAAAATTGTCTCTTATCTGATTATGTAAAATGCTTGTTGTTAATTCTTTCAGGGACTTATCACACAGATGGAACGGGGGAGAGTACAGGGGATGTAAGTGACTTAAATTATAGTTGTAATCAGGGTTTAAAATTAACACCCGTGGGTAAAAATAAACTGTGTCGGGAACACACTCAAATCAGTAGCCAATTTGATGTTACTTATTATGTTTACTCGCTTTGCTGGGGAAGTACGTGTAAGCCAACTCTGAAAGCCAAACTAACTCATGGATCATCATGATAGTGCACTCAATAATGTCCACTATGGTTTCGTACACCACTATAAATGGCTGTCAGTCTTTGTTATTTTTCAACATCCTTGATTTTTTTATGTTCTTTGTACTGGAATGTATGAAATCCTAACATATATATATATATATATATATATATATATATGAAGAGTTCAGATGCAAAAGCCTCTAAATGCCATTTGAAATTTTCTTCTTTAATGATGATTTTTACCAAACTTGTATATTTAAGTTCAGTAATTTCACTTAAATAACAATTAATAGGTAATTATCTTTGCCATTTAAGTGAAATCACTGAACTTAAATATACAAGCTTGATAAAAAAATGATCATTCTAGAAGAAAACTTCAAACGGCACTTAATTAATCTGGTTTATTTATTTATTTTGGCTAGTAGAAGTTCTGAATGGCCGGTAAATTAAATACTTAGTAGCCAAATTGACCGGTGAGTGAAAAAGTTAACTTCAAACCCGGGTTGTTATAACAAAAAGAATATTTATTTTTGAATAAAATGCTAATGCTATTTTATGATGGTTAAAATGATGCAATAATCCTACATGTTCAAGTACAGTGTTTCCTCTTGAAATGTCTCAGGGTTTAGGCCAGGGACAAAAAGGGGAGCGTGGAGAACCTGGACCTCCAGGCCCCCCCGGACCCCCTGGACCATCCCTTCCACCGAGACATTCAGGGCAGCCTGGACAGAGAGGCCCACCAGGACCAATGGGCCCACCAGGAGGACGAGGCAGAACAGGGAAAGATGGGCAATCTGTATGATTATTTCCTGTATTTTTTCTCTGTATGACGATGAGACGTTATTGAATATGCACTGATTACATTTTTGCTACTTCTCTTTGTGAGACTAGGATACCTTTTATCTGTAAACATAGTATTGTAAAATATTTAATATCCCAGTAGTATTCAGCAAATTGAGTGAGCTAATCTCTTGCCTGTTTTACAGGGAAGCAAAGGTGAAGAAGGAAAACCAGTGAGTAACAATTTGCTTAGATACAGAGAGAATGGTATGTACTGTACATGAAGGACATCCATTCAGGACAGTATGTTGAGTTAATATATTGACATTATCGTGCACATTATTATTGTAAATTGAACAAATCCTTTCTGGTAGAACTCAATACATGAGAACTATTTGATTCTTTAGAACTTTAAGAAGAAAGAAAACTACCTTAGCATTGCTCTGAGATGAGCAGTGTCACGATACAGTGTGTTGAATGAAGTGAATCCAAACACAGGAGAACACAACCACTTAAATAGATGTAAACAGACAGAGATTAAGGGTACATTTACACGACAACCATATACGATTCACACTGATATGCGAAAATGACTAAAAACTCTGTATTCTGCTGCTAGGCCATTAGATGGCGATGAAACACTATAGACTGAACACGTGATAGACATGTCCTCGACCGAGAGCACATGCACAGCAGTCCGCCCAGCTCGAGCCTGTCCGGGCTCCTCAATCACTGACGACAGGCAGCCGCCTCCTGTTCCTCCATCAGCCTTAGCTGCTTTTCACTATACTGTTAGCTCTTAAAGATAGCCATGAACATCGGATTCGAGCAGCAGAATTTCAAAATCCTCTTTTAGTTTAGTTTCTTCCGTCATTATCATACTTCCTCTCCACAGAGCTTGTTAGCTTAGCTTCCAAACAAGATGGCTGATATTGATTCAGTTTCTGCAAGTGAAGTCTCACCCACTGATCTGTAATAGGCCTGTAGGGGGAGTCCCACACTTGAATAATAATGAGCTAATGTTTGTAGTCTCTACACTTTTTAATGAACTGTGACTTCCTGCTTATTATGACGCAAAATGACGATTTTTACATCATAATAAGCAGGAAGTAAAACACTTTAATCCTTATTTCTCCCATCTCAAGGGAAAATAAGGGAATAAACCATGACCATTTAAAAATATGACTGGGTTTCTAAAGGTACAAACTTAATGTCAATGGGTGAAGTGTCCCTTTAAATACATGGTACAAACAAAGGGAACTAATGAGATGATTAAGGAGACCACAGGTGGACAGGATAATTAACTAAACGAGGGGATGAACATGAACAGATGACATTCAAATAGAGCACAGGAATTCTCTTGGTCTTCTTAGCATTACACAGAAGAAAAGTATCACTTCATTTCTACAATTTACAAACCAAATTAAATGTAATCATTATAAAAAATGAATGTAAAAAAAGAGAAAAATATTTCATATTGAGTCCCTTGATTGTTTCATATCCTGTGATATATATACCCATATCTGTTTGGTTTCAGACTTTGTTTGCTTGCATAAATATTTACTAACTTGCAGAGTTTTAATTGAATCTGTCTCATTTTTAATGTTGGAGTAGTCACTACCATTTTTAGCTTGAATGTGCTTCTGGTGTCGGTTGCTTGATGTTGCAAACTGTTTTTTTTACTATCATATTATTTTAATTTATTATCATAATCATAAACACTGTTTTGTAATGCTTTACTGCGCTTTATCAGTCTTTAGTTAATGGTAAATAAATCAGAAAAGTGGATTTTTGCAATATTTATAAATAGTGCTGACAGTATCTGTTCCTTGTTTGTATGTTGTTTTTTGTGGTTTATTTTTGTTTCAGTTTTAATATTATAGATATACATGAAATAGATTATTTCCACGTTGAAAAATTAGGTGGATAGAATGAAATGTGAAGTTTCATGGATTCATGTTTACATCCCTTTTCGCTGATCTTAATACATCAGTCCACGTTTCTCTTTAATACAGGGACAGAGAGGTCCACTAGGACTTCCAGGATTACCTGGAGAATCTGGAGTTAAAGGAGAAAAGGTGAGGGATAATGCAGTTGAGTTGCCTCCCAAAAATGTGATTATCCACAATGTAGAAAGCACTTCCTACTATGCCCTGTTGTGTTGTTGTTGTTTTAAGCTTTAAATTAAAATCCTGTATTTATATCTTTTTTAGGGTGATCCTGGGATAGGTCTACCTGGATTGCCTGGTCCACCAGGGCCTCCAGGACAACCAGCGTCATCCAACCCAATTAAAGTTTCAGTGAGTACATTGAACTAAAGGTATTGCTTCGTATTGGGGGGGAAACTGAATTTGTTGCTAAAGCATGTATAGTTCAAAGCAACATCTTTGACTACTTTAAATCTGATGCACATAGTTCTGTACACATACTGTGATTCTTGTTTATTAAAATGTATCTAAATTTTTACTGACAGTATGGATTTGATGCTCTCGGCTCTGGTTTTGGAGACGTTGACACTGATACCGAACGTCTTAGAGTGAGTAAAATCTGAAGACATTGTTACATACTGTATTTAATAGCAATTAACAGTAATGATTGTCAATGTTTATCCATCTCTAATAACATCATATTCTAGGGTCCACCTGGTCCTCCAGGCCCTCCTGGGAAACCTGGCCCACCTGGTCCCAACAGCCGCTTTGGGGGTTTGCTCCCTGGACCTCCAGGTGCCCCTGGCAAGGATGGCAGAGATGGGCAAGCTGGACATCCTGTGAGTGTTTTCTTTCATTTAAATCAGCTGCTGAAGAATGTCTCAGTTTGTGTACTATGTACTTATGTTGTGCCTGTCATCGCAAGTTAACTCTGATGTCTAATGCACTCAGACAACTTGAAGCTTCGTAAAATAAGTAATTTAGGCCAGCAGATAAATGATTCATTCCCCATCAAGCACTTCTCAAGAACAAGAGTTGCTAAATGATGTTTGAACCACAGTCTTTTAATGCTCATGGTGTCTTCTTTCCTTCTCTCGATAACCCAGCAGTTTGAGGACTGGTTTAGTGGGTCTGGCACTGACTCTGGGTTTGGCTCTGGGTTTGGCTCAGGGTTTGGTAAAGGACAGGCTGTGCCCTGGTTCGTTCAGGTCACTGAACTAGTAGGTTGGAAAAGGCAGCATTTTCTCTCCAACAAGTTCTGCTTTTCCTCATTTGCCTAAATGCAATCTGAGAAGGTTACAGTGGTGTATTATGGCGCTTTTCCATTACCAGTACCAGCTCGACTCGACTCGGCTCGCTTTTTGCTCCGTTTTTTATTGCAGACAGTACCGCCACAAATAGTACCCGGTCGTCAAAGCGACGCCTTTCGTTCCTCATTGCCCCATCAAGCTCTCGCTGGATCCTCTCTTCGGCAACCAAACAAAGGAAAGTCTGCATCTTCTCGTTTGACCACGGCGTATTCTTCCTAGTTGCCATAATAATAGTAAGTTTAGTAAGTAATCTGGCGTGTGCAATGATGATGCAGTGAATGGTGACGATTCTGTCTGACCAATCAGCAGTCGGCATTGTTTTCACGTCACATTTTAGTATCGGCTCAGCTGGCCTTAGCTCGCTCAGAACCTCGCCGGAGGTGATACAAAAAAAGGTACAGGCACAACTTTTACACAGTGGAAAGCCAAACAAAGGCTGGTTAAGTCAAGCTGGTAATGTGTAGTGGAAAAGCGCCATTTATGCATGTATTTCCCCCGTTACCCAGGAAAATAATCACCATGGCTTTCCGTCACACATTAACCTTTTTTACGTATATCTTCCAATTCTGTCTTTATTTCTTACAATTGTGAGTTTATATCTCACAATTTAAAGTTTATATTCATATAAAAATTGCAATGAAAAAAGGTAATTGCGACTTTTTATCTCAGTGGCGAAATTCTTCTTTCTTGCAATTGCGAGTTTCTATCTCACAATTCTGAGATTTTATCATTTTAAAAAGTTATAATATATGAATTGTGAGATAAAACTCAAAATTGCGAGAAAAACAAATCTGAATTGTTAGAAAATAATCACAATTAATAAAGGTTTATGTAAAAAAAAAGTCGTAATTGTGAGATGTATAATATATAAATGTCACAATTATCTGTTTTATTTTTTTAATCTGTGGCGGAGACAAGCCAGCTGTTAGATGTTTTAGAAGTTTAGATTTAGTTGATGTGGTCCATTCAAGGTTGCATTTCAGGACAGCTTGAAACTCTGCTTTCTTTTTCTGAACGTTGGAGAAAATCTGTCTTTTTTAATTTTGAACTGTCTGCTTATACTAACAGCAATGGCAACTTAAAACATTATGTTGAAACAACATGATCATTTTTGTCATATAAAGACACAACTCAATTCTAATCACATTTAGAATTTAGTTTCAGGCAGAAACAATGAGCTCATTGAAGTAATAAATACTTGTATTCAACAAAAAATGTATAGTATTACTATATTTAATTTGTACTTGCTGCAAAAAAAAAAAAAGTAATGCAGTGTATCTGTATCGACCATGGGGTCCGTTCTTTGTACGTCGATTACTCTGTTATCTGGATTTTACTGTTGATGATTTGATATGATCCAGGATTGTTAGGTTCTTCGAAGCTCATCCCAGTGTTGCTGTCATAGCAACTGGTCTGTGATTTCATGTAAATGCTCTTGACTCTTTAGAAACTTTATTAATGCTGTCACATAACAAATTAATTAAAATTAAGTAAAATTAAATTAATTGCTAATTGCAACATTGAAATCAAAATATAAAGCCTGCTGAAATGCTGGAAACAAACAGTACATAGCCTATTTAATTCATTGGAGTAGCTTGACATTTGAGCTGGGGATAAAATTAAAATGAATATGTATATCTATTTTGGGGTTGAGAATATAATTTATTTTTTTTAAATGTTTAGTAACATCTCTTTGCCGATGGGGGTGGGGGCAAGTTCCGTCCATGATTTCATTTATCTATTATAACTTGAATGTCCTTTTGGTCGCTTGGTTGTTTCCTTATGAACATCCAAATATTCATACATTTTTTTCGTCAGGCGTGCATTTTTCTTTTTTTGTCATTATGTAGTTGTCTAGCCTCTAGTCAATCGCTGTATTGCTGATCATGGTTGCGAGTATCAATATCTGCCCTTTCCAGTGAACACAAGAACACGCAGTAATATCAGACAACTTAATCCAGTTATTTTAATCAAATCCACAAATTCGTTTGAAGAACCAAATTAGCCAGAGATCAGTTATCACAACATCTGGCATCTATCAAATCATCTCATATTTATTAAGCGAGGTACGAAAAACGGACCCCAGTGGGGTCAAAGATGGTCCTGGAAGAGAGGCCACTGTCCAGAGTAGTCCTTGCCTCAACACACCTGCCTGAAGGTTTCCAGGATGCCTTGTGAGATCTTGATTAGCTGGTTCAGGTGAGTTTAATTGGGGTTAGAGCTAAACTTTGCAAGACAGTGGCCCACCAGGAGAAGGATTAGACGCCCCTGGTGTAGATGCTGACTTTTACAATGTTTTGTTGATGTTAAGTCATGTCATAAAGGTGGCGTTTTGATCTGTTTCACCTTTAAAGGGTATGCCTGGCCAGAAGGGATTAAATGGACAACAGGGTCTGAAAGGAGCAAAGGTATGAAAATGATCCAATCTTGATGAAAGAACTCACTCAATGTCATATAAAACTGAAAATGTTCCATTTTGAGCTCTACACTTCATGACTTTCTTTCATAGGGTGAACTAGGAATAAGAGGCCCAGCTGGACTTAAGGTATGTTTATGATATACATTATATGATGCATAAAGGTATGATCACATTTACCACTGTTCAGGCAATGTTTCACGGATGAAATCCAGTAATTTTATTTGGAATCCATTTGATTGGGAATTCCACTTGATCCCCATGCAGATAGGTTCAAGTTGGTCAGGCAGGTTCGCTGCGTTGATCAACAGAAAGCTGTTTGGTTTGAAAGTGACTTCTATGTGAGCTGTGTTTCATACATTGCTACCTTATTGAAAATAGATAATGGACCTTTTTTGCTTGTGAAATTTTGCCAAAATGTGACTGCACCTTAAGGCCGGATTCACATATAGCGCCTAAAAACGCGTAGAAAACGCTGGGCATGGCGCATTCTCCATTTTCCAAAGCGCCAGGGCGGTTGCGCTTCAGTTGGTTCTTGTCACATGACCTATTGTGTGCGTATGGTGCGCTTGCGGTATTCTGAAAAGTTGAGATGTTTTTATCTCGATGCGGCGCATGTAAAAAACGAGCGCGTCGCACCGCGACCGCACCGCTTACATTATGAGCGCGCATACCGCACGCCTACATTTGAAATAACGAACTTGAGCGCGCAAAAGACGCGATATGTGAACCGGCCCTAAGGCTTCATAAAGTTGAAACAACCATTATACATTTTATTTCTCATCATATTGTTTGTTTCTTACTTACTTTTCTTAAAGGGTGAAAAGGGTGACTCTGGCCTGAGAGGTCCATCTGGCCCTATTGGACCTATTGGGCCAAGGGGTTTACCTGGACCACCTGGCCCTCCTGGCCCACCAGGGCTCTCGAGCAACAATTTCATGGTGGACACTTTGAAGGTCTGAAAATCTACTTGCAATTCATTTAACAATAGTAATCCCAGAAGTCCTGTTTGGTGTTTTTTAGAGGCAGATTTGTAATTAACAACCTTTTTGGAATTTCAAATTCTAAATGCAGTACATTATGGTCAACAACAGACTGCTGTTTTGAAATGACCCTGCTGAAATACTTTGATATTCATTCATATTCATTATTGTGATAAGACTACAGAGATAATCAGATCTTCAGATGTTTCTTTTATAAACCAACTCTCCTTTTGCGTCATCGAAGGATAACGCCCCTTTTGGGGGGGGGAAACAAACGGATTCCCCTGAGAACAGAACTCGCTCTAGATCTGCTAAGTTTCTTGATAGCAAAAATGGCACAAACATACACACTCTCTTAGCCAGCCGAGGACTGTGAGTGGTATTTAAATAAGGGGGTTACAGTGGTGTCCCTTTGAAATGGTCGAAAACTGGATTAAAATTGGATGTTGTGACATCATGCTATCCTATCTAGCCTAGAAGGCTTGATCTACTACCGTTCGTGTTGTTACATGTTCTGTAGCCCAGAGCAGTGGTCATCGAAAAGTCATATAGGCCTAAAGCACTTTCTAGACACAAGCAGAAACCAGCCAAGTCCACTTTAGTCCTAGCCTGCCACTATTTCAACAGTAAAATCAGTTAACAGCCAAGGTAGCATGCCTAGTGAGAGCTAATCACGTAACGTTAGCTGCTAGCAGCTTCGTCTTTCTAACTAGTATAGCTAGTCGACAACAAAACAATGTCATATGATCCAAGTGACATGGCCTCATCTTCTAGTTTGTCTTACTGTGAGTGTTAATGACAAAAAAAAATAGGCTACTTGTTGATTCCACGAGATAGTGGTAGACGTCTGAATAGTTCACTACTTGGGGTCATTTAATCCAGTTTTCGACCATTTCAAAGGGACACCTCTGTCTCTATCTAGCTTCTTTAAGTTTGTGCCATTTTTGCTATCAAGAAGCTTTGCGGATCTAGAGCGAGTTCTGTTCTCAGGGGAATCTGTTTGTTTGGTCTACTGGTCAGACTTATAGCGTAGATGCGATGTACCCAAAAAAGTGAAAGTGAGGAGCATTTATGGGTTGGGAACCGGACTACTTTATATATTTCAAAGTTACTGAATCCCAAAAAAATGGTACGCTATATTGCCTAACTTGCTCAGTCGTTGGACCAATTCCCCCTAGTTTTTTGTAAGTAGACAATCAAGATGAGGAAATTTTAATTTTTATATCGATAGTCAAGGGTCAGAGCAAAGATAATGCTCGCTCACTGCCTTTTTATGTGTGATATATATATATATATATATGCAAAATACCAACTTTTAAGGTGAAATTAAGCATTATTTTTGTTATTTTTTAAGGCCGACATAAATATTCAATCAATATCCCTCTTAAATGTTCCCAGTGTATATATGATATGTGATGTATTTGTATTATATATTACATAATAACTAAGACAAACACCATTGCAAGTTGTCTGAGATTTCATTTTTTATTTTATTTTATTTCAAACATCGGAAAACTCAAGTGAAAGTTGCAAAATAGGGGAAAAAACACCATGAAACTTCTTATAGAAGGCCATTTTGCTGAAATCCGTCTAGTCTATTAGCCTCAGTGGGTCATGTACTCAGTGGCCTTTTTTGATGAATAGAGTTCAGAGCAAAAAAGCTTTCAATATATTCAAGTGGCATGAACAGTATAATTCAAGGGTCACATCTGGTCCAATTTTTCCTTCATTTTTGAAATTTTTATTTTAGCATTTTAGTTTAAAATGTGAATGAATCCCTTAAAAGAGAGCTGTATTGCTTTTGAGATAATAGCAGCTTTTTGAGGATGAAATTCTTCAAACATCAATTTTCACAGCCAGAACACCATTTAGTCAATTCAAAACCTTAATCATAAATTTTGAGGATTTTGTGTTGCCCTGGCTTTTATAGTCAGTCTAAGGATAGGAGGTGTTTTATCCTGACAGGATTTGGAGGGTTCTGGGGAAAGTGGATTGTTTCTCGGAGCCGGAATTTCAAAAGGCTATCAAGTGAGTGTACAAAACCATTACAACTATTATGTCCTTCTCAAAGGCTAATCACATATCAAGGTCTTTCATAAACCATGCCACATTTTCCCTGTGCACTCAAAAGCTATCTGTTGAATGAACCTATTCTGAGTTATTTTTCCTCGTATTTCTCCTGTTTTCTTCTCTCCTCTCCTACATTTTAAGGGGCATCCTGGTCTTCCTGGCCCACCAGGATCTCAGGTCTTTTTATCTTTAGACATATTAAATATTATAATATACATTATAATATATTAAAATATTAAAAATATTATAATATACATGTTCTATGTCCTCCCTGTAGGGACTTCCTGGAGCTGACGGAGCCCCCGGATTGTCTGTGAAGGTTTGTCAGACTCCACTGTAGTCACACATAAACGCTATAATTGCCTCATTTGACCCCTTTCTCTTCTCTATCCAGGGTGAACCTGGGTCCCCTGGACCTGATGGAAAACCCGGATTAGCCGGTTTACCAGGAGCCAGGGTCAGTTCTGTTTCTAGCATTCTTGGAGTACTTTGAAAAGACATATCATATAATAATGTACTAAATAAGTATTGTAGCAGTGATAAGTAATTGGTTAGTTTATACATAGCGAGCAAATGATACAAATTATTGTAGTAGCTGTGGCACAATATAATGTGTAATGTTTTTTTGTTGTTGTTTGTGCTACCTTGATGTAAACAGGGGCCAAAGGGAGACAAAGGCAGTCCAGGAGAGAAGGTATTATATTGTATATCTGAGAATATTTTGAGCAGTTACGTGACATGATGATGTGACCTTTGGCCCACATTATTTACACCAGATATTGAATAATACATGATGATATTCACCCCAAGCCAAATGCACACTGTGGGATTTTTGCAGTTTGAGAAGAAATTCAGTTTGTGTATAGTATATTCTGTGTTTTGCTGTATTAATTGTTACTCAGGGTGAACGAGGTCGTGATGGACTGAGCGTCACAGGGCCTGTTGGCCCCCCTGGCCCTCCTGGACCAATCATTAACTTCCAGGATGTAAGTACTGAAGTGTGATTACATGCTATGCTGCAATATTATGTCTGAGTTCCTAAAAAGATAATGATTCCTCCCCCTCTAGCTCCTTTTTAATGATACAGCAGCCAAATTAAACCAAGGACCGCCAGGCCCTATGGTACGTAAAGCAGCTCACTGTTTTCCGCTCAAATGCTTTTTAAGATGCAGCATGTTTAACATGGATCGATTTTTTCCTAAAGAAATCTGTGATTTTTCAGTGATCTTTTTTTATATATGTGTGCAACAAAGATTGTTAAACATCCAAATTATTTATAATCGAGAGGGAAAAAAAGTTAACATGCTTGGTGTGTCTAAATGATCTGGGAAGTTTTTTTTTTTTTTTTGATCATGTATCACATAATCTCTAATGTTTTTTCGCTTGCGTCTGTGTGTGTGGTGCATGTTGCAGGGCCCTGAAGGCTTGCCAGGCAGAGCAGGATTCCCTGTAAGAATCTCCTTCATCTTTCTTTATACTATTTCAAGATGATATATGTGGCGATAAAAAGATGCAACTAAGAGTGTGTTCACACTTGTAGTTCAGTTCTCTTGGTTGTGTTCATAATTTGGTGGTTGTTACATTTCACTTTACAGAGAATACATTTCAACAGAAATATCTATACAAAACAAAACACACATCTATATTATTTGAGATTTAAATCTGTTTAAATCTTAATTTTTTAGGCTTTACAGTGTTATGTTGTCATGGTGATAAAAACTGGATATAACTTAACACACTAAAATTGTTATAATGCATATCGTTTTATATATTTTGGCTATACTTTTGAAACAGTGAGTATTTTTTACAAATTGGCCCCATTTTCTTCCATTGGAAGCTCCTCAGTGTAACATTTTTTGCTGCTTTTACAGAATAGGAGAAAAATTTCTAAATAATTTCGGTGGTAATCAAAATTATGAGCGTTTACGCTGATTTTTGGGGTTATAAACTTTTAAATAAAACATTATACTGGTGGAAATAACTTACATGAATGTTGTCTTGCTCAGGGCCCAAGGGGACCAAAAGGTGAAATTGGGTTTCCTGGTGTTCAAGGACCTCTAGGACTGAAGGTATGGGTTTAAAATGTGATTAGAAGTGACCTGCTGTACCATAATGAAGCATAAACTCCTCCATCAATTTATTGTATTGTCTGAAAGGGAGAAAAGGGGGAGCCAGGCACATCCATAGCTGCTGATGGCTCACTAATAGCAGGCACGAGAGGACCCAGAGGACCGAAAGGAATCAAGGTTGAAACTATTTACTTTTGACTTTGATCTTTTTGTTGTTCCTCAATAGTCTGACACTGCTGTCATTGTACTTTGCAGGGAGATATCGGTCCCGCTGGACAGCCTGGGATTGTGGTGAGATGCATCTCTCTCACCAAACTAAAAGCATATATATATATATATATATATATATAAAAGAATGTACAGTATATGTTTTTTTGATCTTTAGGGGCCAATTGGACCAACTGGACAAAAAGGAGGATATGGAATTCCTGGTCGACCAGTTAGTTTTATTAATTTTTATCTGTTTAGTTATAGTTTTACATCTCATAAATTCTTATTTCTACTCACTCCCTGAAATTTCTTTTAGGGTCGGCCTGGAGTAGTTGGAAGGAAAGGGGACAAGGGAGATTCTAGTGGTCCACCTGTAAGTTACTTTTTTTGTTGCCTCCATTATGTTTTAATTTTTTTTTATCAATTTTTTTATAACAACTTACCTGTATTCAAGGGTCCACCTGGTCCACCTGGTCCACCTGGGTATCCAGGGCCACCAGGACGAGTGATTGGCCTCAATGGAGTAAGTCTGTTCCTCTAAGCAGATTTGCAGTGTATCGAAATTAAATTGAGCACCACATTGTGGTTTATCCTAAAATGTGCAGTTTTCACAAAAGTTATGAAATGATTCTGCTTTGAATCTTGAAGACAGTTTTCCCAGTTCCTCCTAGACCACACTGCAAAATACCAGTAAGTTAATGAGTGACATTCTCCAATTGGTGGTTTGGCTTTGGGTGTGGCGCATGTCATTCTGGCTCGGCTCCTCCCCCTAATACACTAGCCCTGCCCACTTTGCTCTCTAAGGTGCATGTGTTCATGGCCTTAAAAACAGCATAAAACAGGCTTAATTTACAAAACAGATCTAAATGACATTTTATTCAAGTCAAAAAAATGTTTTTTAGATATTAATTTTGTCAACTGAATTATGCCTGCCTTATGCTGTCATTTACAAATTCAAGAATGTCTCTCCATGGTCCTTTAACCCAGTATCTCATCTCATCTCATCCCATCTGAGGTGTTCTCCTAAGCTCACCAAAGCATGTTGCATGAGCTCTAACATTTGTTGGGCTCAGCAGTGATTTCATGGTATTGCAGGATATGGTGTGCTGTGTACATTTTAAAATGTCGCACTAACAAAACTGTTCACTCCTGAATATGCTGACATTAGCTGGCATGGGTTCATTCGTTTAATTATTTCATATCAGACAATATTTTCATAATAATTTTTATTTTGTCCAAAATTGTCTATTTTTATAAAAAAAAATTGTCTTATAGGCCAACAACAACAATTCACAACAAGGTATGTGTAGCAGATCTTATATGTAGCAGCCTTTCCAACAATTTGTTTTTAATAGTTAATGAATGATGAGTAAACAACTTTTGAGGTCTTATTTTTTTCATTGAAACAGACTATGGAAGAGTGTCATCTGGAGTCAAAGGGGAGAAGGGTGATATGGGAAAACCAGGGTTGCCAGGAGTTCCAGGTATAATAAAAATGTCTTATTTTGGAAAATAACCATAACTGTAAAAATCAAAAACATACTCTGTAAAAAAAGATGGACAGCACGTCTCCGCATTCTTCCATTGTAGAAATATGAAGCCAAGCCAAAATATCCCAGTAACGATCATTGCTGATTACGTTGTTCTGCAAGGTCCCATCCATATTCCTGCTCCCGCAGACTCAATTGCAAGTACAGCTGTCAGTAATGATGTTACACCCTGTTTTGTAGCATCAAAACCGAACTAAAACCAAACTTATTGGTAAAACGAATACTCGGAACATACATACATCTGCGTGATGAGAACTACCTAAAATGACAGAAACTCTCTTTGATATATAATTGATTTTTTTGTTTGGCTCAACGTCCCATGCGATTACATGTAGAGGGCGGGGTTTAAGCCCTTTACTGCAGCCAGCCACCAGGGGGCGATCAAAATGCTTTAGCGTCACTTTTCGGGACTTGAGCAGCACACTTGAGGGTTCGCTTAAATCCCTGTCAGAAATTTGACTCTTAGCTGATCCACGTTTAGGAATACGATGCCTATCACTGTATACATGTATAAGCTCTGTCAGTATTTTCAGCAGCTATCGCGCTTCTCATTAGCCAATTCCCTCCTCCATCCCCAGCTCCTCCTCTCGTCAGTCAGGATTTGGCATTTTGATTCCCCCTGAATCAGACTAAAATGTTCTAATTATGCTGTACATTAAAATGAATAGCTTTCTTTTCTTTAGAAAAGTAATATGCTTTCTTTACTGCTGTTTTCTCGCCACTTTCATTGTTTTTTTGTTACTGAGTGGAAAGCACACCGCAAGTATAGATGTTTATCTATACTCTTAGCAGTTCACCTATGGTTTACCAGTGCAAATGTATTTCAAACTTCTTTTTACCCCTAAGCAAAGAATAAAAAATATCATAAATAAATCTTTGCTAACTCAGTTTCTCCACACTCCCTTTCAATTTATTCTCCTCCTTCGTTCTTAACTTGGATGTTTACTCTGCATTTATGTATAAGGTTTACAACTTCATTAAAACAATATTTTTAAACAACATGACCTGGTTAGACCTATTGATTATTTCACAGATTTTAACTAGCATATCACAAAGGGCATTCTGGGTTGAGCGAGTGGACCTGAGTGTACCAAATGAGTGGAGTGCAGTCTTCAGAAAGGCGCTCCCCGCTCTGCTCACATACTCTGTATAGCACACATTGATTGGCAGACAGTCATGACTAGACATCAACGGTTTTTGATTAGATATCAACCATTTTCGACTACTGACACTTTCAGTCTGTTGAATTGATCTTTGTTTTCCTTCTTCACAGTGCCTATGTTTCCTGATGATTATGTGGTGAGTACTTGTTTTCAAGTGCTTATTCATTAGGCAATTGCTATCGCTGTTGTTTTTGAGTATGTATGTATGATTTTGTATGATTCTGAGTATGTGTCTCTAAGGGTGCTAAAGGTGATAATGGCTACAAAGGGCAAAAGGGAGAGAAAGGGGATCCAGGTTTGCCTGGCCCTCCAGGGATCCCTGGAAGAGCAGGCCTTGTGGTAAGATCAGTGTTGGGAAAGTTCACTTTCTAACTAGAACTAGTTCAGTTCATAATTCATACTTCAAAAAATGAACTATTTCATTCATAGTTCTTTTTTTCCATATGCTGCAAGCTTTTTTTTATTTTTATTATTGCACAGCCCATATGAAGAGTTCAGATGCAAAAGCCTCTAAATGCCATTTAAAATTTTCTTCTTTATTGATGATGTCTGGTGTCTTGTGTTGCCAGATTGGGTGTTTTTTTGCTACATATTAAGGTCTGTTTACCTGTGTTTTAGCCGGGTTTTCACCTGGAAGGCTCTATAGAAATCTGGCACCCTATTGTACAAAGTTAAACTGAGAGAGCGTGCATTCACAGACACCAGAATGAACGCGTTCACAGTAACGTTTATCAGGCAGCAATGCAGTACTTTCAGTTCACGTTCACCCAAAATATGAACATCACAATCAGGTACAACACTGGGTAAGTCTACAAATCAAGTATTCAATTCAAAACAAATACTAAAATGAATACTTTTGCATTTCAGGGACCTAAAGGGGACTCTATTGTTGGCCCTCCTGGAGACACTGGTCCCCCTGGCCTGCCAGGAGTGCCTGGTTATGGAAGTCCAGGACCTCAAGGGCCACCAGGACAACCTGGGCCACCAGGTATCCCATCGGCATATGGCTCAGGTGACAACAAATACTTTATCGTGACTTCAAATAGTGAACTTTTCCATTAGCTTGAGCGCATTCCTAAACAGATTTCTCTCCAAAGTTTTTTTGAGTGACTTAATCGAGGCAAAGAACTTTTTATCAACAACTTACTCAGGTATCAAAGTTCTGCTTTACTTTCTGTCTCAGCTGCGAATCTCCCTGGACCTCCAGGTCCTCCAGGGCCGCCCGGCGCTTCTGGCCATGGAAACCCTGTAAGTCAGATGGTACAGAACTCAGTTGTAATGGAGCAAGCTCATAAACGATTAAATGTGCCTTGGTTTTTTTATTGTGACTGCTTACTTTGCCTTTCCAGGTGAGCACGTACAAAAACATTCAGACCATGATAAGAGAGACCAGTCAAGCTGCAGAAGGGACACTGAAATATGTTATAGACAAGAGTGAACTGTACATCAGGGTACAAGGGGGGTGGAAGAAAGTTGAGGTATTTACTTATTACATTTTCCTTCAAAACAAACGTAAATAGAGCAAAATGTCTTTTCTTCTTATTCTAATGTTTTCTGATACTGATGTGTAACTGTGTTTTAGCTGGGAGAGCTTATCCCAGTTCCCCAAGACAGTTCCTCATCTGCTTTGTCACAAGGCCTGAGCAGACCCAGCGGCCGCAGTGTACCCAGACTTCACAGCCAGGTGCGTCATACATATGCAGTAGTCTAAGGATGCACAGATATTAAAATTGTGGGAGATTCTAATAAACTGGTATTTTTTAGCTGAGTAGTAGGGGTAACCATTCTCTTTTTCCTGGACATGTCCGACCGTCGAGATCGTACAAAATGTCTGGGATTCAGCGCATGCTTTCTTCAGTCGCCATTCATTGTTTACATGCACACCTTTTGTTTCAATCTAACTGAATTCATTCCGATTGGTGAATATGAATGTAGTGTTTACAAGAAACCTAAACAAGTGATCGTTTATGTGCGCTTGACCATTGCAAAGAAAACTCCCGCTCCTCCGTGAGAGATACGAAAACCAGTGCGTCTCAGAGGTGTCGCTTATCGTAATCACGTCACCGGCCTCGCGCCATTCTCCCACGGCCCTCAGCCTCGCCCTGCTAATCATGATGAATGGCGACTGTAGAACGCAAAAGTCGAATCCCGGACATTTTGGGCGATCTCGAAATCCCGGGCAGACTCATCACAGAGACTCACTAGTAGCCTAGACTTGTTGTTTAACTACTGTGTTCTGTTACCGGTAGAAGTGCCCTCTTAGGGCAGTGAAGCAAGTGCATTCTGGGAGTTGTTGTCTTTCATCCACATAAGCCAAAAATATTTTCTGGCTTTTCTCAGTCTGGAAAGCTCCAAATTCAAAAATAATTTCACATTTATTCTGCATAAATTACCCATTTTAAATACACATTCATCTCTCCAGAGGTGAAGTATCTCTTTAAGCAGGTAAAGAATTTGTGTACTCGACAGAACAGGACCACAGAATAAGAATTGGACTAGCGTGTGGTGCAATGCAAAACATCCAAATGGAAAACTTTGCCATATGGAAAAGACATTTCCAGATTTACGAAAATAAGAGTTTATGAAGCCTTGGTCCTCAACATAATATTATATCATTCAGAAACATGGACACTAAGAGAAGCAGACAAGAATAAATTGAGAGTGTTTGAAATGAATTGCTTATGGAAAATCCAAGGGTTGACAAGAAGAGACAGAATAAGAAACGTCGACTTAAGAAGAGAGTTGGGGATGGAAATTGATGTGGTGCAGCGAATTCAGAAAAAAAGAGGCTCGGATACTTTGGACACGTGGTCCGAATTAAAACAGAACGACTTCCAAATGTCACTTTATTCCGTCACGTTCACGGGACAAGGAGGTGAGGGCTACCAAAGAAAAGATGGTTCAATAACTTGGAAGAGGATCTGAAAAAGGGCTGTTGGAGCATGGTCTACCATCGCCATGACACACGGGATGAGAATATAAGAGATTGTTAGATTATGGTAAAGGTAATCTAAATGTAAAAATAGGTGAAATTGAAGCCTGAAAATTAAAAAAAAATGCAATAAAATAATAAAATACCGAAACGAAAATCGATATGGTACATACGATATGTCCTCTAGTATGGCCTGTGGATCGTTGTTTGTCTACTACCATTTATCAGATCAAGAGAAATATTAAAATATGCTGGAATCAAATGTTAATATCAGTTATAATGGTATATACTGTACCTTAGTGTCTGATGTGAACATCTAATGTTAATTACAGGAGTTAAAGAGCTTCCTGCCAGACTACAATGTTCTTTCACACACTGCACACTCGATGCCTGCGGTAAGGCTTTCTTAAACCTTGTTGCATGTTTCAATGATTGATGAGAAATGGTGTGCACTTTGACATGACCTCTGACCTTTGAACTTCTCAGTTGCACCTGGTGGCACTCAATGCCCCATTTTCAGGAGACATGCACGGAATCCGAGGGGCAGATTATCAGTGTTACCAGCAAGCCCGTGCCAGGGGCCTCACATCAACTTACAGAGCTTTCCTCTCCTCTCACCTACAAGACCTCTCCACCATCGTCAAGAAAGGGGACCGCTTTAACTTGCCAGTGGTGAACCTCAACGTATGTAAAGGATCATATTTGCACAATAGATTGCAATCAAGATTTCTCATAATATGTAGTTTGCCTAAGTTTAGCCTGTCTAAATTAAGCTTCTTGTGCATCGTCTTTAGGGAGAAGTGCTCTTCGGCAGCTGGATGAGTTTGTTCTCCGGCAACGGGGCTGTTTTTGATCCACTTACTCCGATTTACTCCTTCGATGGACGAAATGTCATGACAGATCAGGCTTGGTAAACAGTTTTTCTTTTTAAACATTTTTAGACATGTAAGCTGAATTCTAACAGTTTGAATAATGCTAATAAAAATACAATCTAAATTCATATTATATCATATTTATAATGAACAAACATAAATTAATAAGCTGTATATGTTTCTATGACTCAAGGCCTCAGAAACTGGTGTGGCACGGCTCGAGTACGGTGGGCATCCGAATGACAACTAACTACTGTGAGGCATGGCGGACGGGTGACATGGCGGTGACCGGACAGGCATCTCTTCTCCAGACCGGCAGATTGCTCGGGCAGCACACGCGTAGCTGCTCAAACCACTTCATTGTGCTTTGCATCGAGAACAGTTACATCCAGGACCCTGGAAGGAACTAGAAAGCTGACCATTTTAAAGTAATGCAGACGTAGGGAGCAGTAGTAGCTGGACTGCTAGGGGAAATATCCAATCTACTCTGTTATTTTTAGGGAGAGAGCTCCTTTGAGAAGTGACAAGCCAGGGAAAACGGCACTGCAATCATGTTTCAGTACTTCTCTGAGCATGATGTAAATATGTATAAATCACCCACTGATATTGTTCAATCGAAGACCCACAGCATTTATTCAACTATTAGAATACCAAAGAATACCTCAGCCAGACATTGAGCAAGTGTAGGTCCATTGTTTGAGTTCACTGCATTACTGTGTGTCTTCTCAATTGGTCTTAGTCCCTCCCTAACAGTGACTAATACAGAGTTTTGTGCGTGTGTATAATATTAACTGCACATTTAAAACCATAACCATAGATCCACATAAGATCCTTTCTTTTAATCAGATTAAATGCCAATATTTAGATATCAGTATTTGGATATAATCAAACCACCGAGTTTTGGAAGTTGTTAAAACACTGTAATAATAATAATTTCTTTGTTTTTTCTGTTTAGAGGGGGTTTTTTTACACCCGTGAAGCTACTTTCTGTGAACTTGCATCTAAACTAGTATTAAATGGCAATATGTCTAATTTATAATGTAAAAGCACATAAAACTAAAACCCTGTCCCATGTACATACTTAAATAGGCATTCATTTTTTCTAAAGTTGACAGTGGCCACAACCACATTATGAGTCTTCACTGTGTTTAATCTTTCTATGACATGTTTAGAAAGACAAACTAGAAAATTAAATACATTGTCAATCTTCTAGAAGTCAGATGAGTCCGAAACACTCATGTAGAGAGCCCTCCCCCTTTCTTTTTTCCATATTTTAATGGTGCTCAGTGAATAAATGTTTTGTTTTATAAGTATGACTGTTGTTTCTGTAAGTTGTGGCAGGTTTAAAAACAATACAAAGATATTGTACGAGAAAAATAAAGATTTAATGTACCTGCTGCCTCGTCAAGGGCAAATATGTAGACTCCCGTTCAAAAGTCTGGGGTCTGAAATTCAGAATCATTACTCCTGTCTTCCGTTTCACATCTAATCATTCTAATATGCTGAATATTTTATAAGTGGAAATGTGCATTTCTTCTGGATTCTTTGGTGAATATAACTGCCACATTTGATCAATTAATGCATCCTTGCTGAATAAAAGTATTCATTTCTTTTAAGAAAAATTACCCCAAACTTTTGAACAGTTAGTATATCATGTCACAAGGGGGCAGAATGGAGACACAAAGCAGGAAATGCTCATCAAAGCACATAGTTTGATTCAGAGCTTAAATACTGTATGTGTAATATAATATAAATTTAATATGATTTTGCGCTAACCTTGGCACACAATGTTTTAATGTTACTCTTTGCAAAGCTGAACCTTGCTGATGCCAAGTTTTCTCTAAAATGTATCTGCATTTTTGCTTAGTCTTAATAACCAATCATCATTGGCCTCATTCTACTGCATTCCATCATATTTGCCTGGTTTGTTTGTCCGCCATACAGACTAGTTTACTAAGCAGTCAGATAAACAGAAATGCTATTTCAGCCTGATTCAAATGGTTCAATTCTACCAACAGGAAAGAGGAGAGCACTAACCACAGATAAAAGCTGCTCATCAATCTCTGCCTTCAGGCTGTCTGTCTACCCAGCTTGTTTCATTCTCAGGACATAGTTGTATTTTCTGCCCATATTATATACAGCCATCTCATTCACAATAATGATTAAAAATCTTTCTCTTTCTTATAACACTGCTCCTCCAAAGATGCATCCAAAGCAACTATCACAAAAAAGGTGCATTTATAGTGCTTAAACTGTATAATGTTATTGATGATGTAAATGTATAATGTATTTTATTATGTAATAATTATATTTATTATGGTCTACCATTATATAATGTTAATGATATAATGGTAGACCATATATAATGTTGGTTGACCATATATAATGTTAATATGTATACTGAATCAATTACAAAAATAATTGTATTGTTATGATTTAAGGCCAGCCATGCTTTTACCTTATATCTTATCTTTATGGGGGGAACGGAGAGAGAGAGAGAAAGAAAGAAAAATTTAATGGGTATTTGATTACGGTTACAATGAGTATTTTGAAAGTGTTGAATGATCAAATCATTCTTGTAACGAAACTCTCAGGACAGATTCGCAATAGTCCGAGGACCGAGGTACAGCTGAACTCGCTGGCTAGTACTGAGTCAGGCTAACTAGAGACCAATGTGGGCGGAGCATATTTCTCCGTGCTGACCAATCAGAGCGCTCCTTTTCTCGAAGCAGAGAGACTCGACTACTTGAATGTGTGAGGAAAAACTGACCAGTTCTAAAGAATGATCTATAGCACAATGGACGCAGGAACGTCATTTTGTCGCTCATTGCTGCTGGCTTTACTTGTATTCTCGGTGACCCAAGAGGCGCGAGGTAAGTGCGTGGGACTGCAACACTTCTTGGTTTCCCCTCGTCTACATTTCTCAAGTTTTATACCCGCGCGTTTCCTTTTTTTCACAATACTACTTAGGGGTGTTCAAATATGGCGCAGGTCTTGGAAAGCCACGCTGGCATGAATGTTTTTTTTTTCTTCTTTTCTGTGCCGTGACAACGGTCACATCTACATCAGTTTGCGAGAGTGCGTTTTTCGGATGTGGACATGGAGTGACTCGCGAATGCAAGCGGAGCACCGCGCGAGGTTTGGATATCGCGACCCAGTATTTATTTACCATACTTCAAAGCTCCTGTTAACTTATAACAACCTCTGAATCAAATGTTCAGTCATCTGAAACTGTTGACGAGATGTGCTTTCATGAGCGAACAGCAGTTTACGTTCCGCATGTGTTTGTGGTGATGGACATTTTTTCTTTCATTTGACGACATTTAAAAACTCTATCGTAAAATGTCAGACTCTTTTTTTGGTTTTAGGACATCCTAGACCGATATTTCCGCACGAGTGACATCGAAGGCTTCGATCATGTCTGGGCATCTAAGTTATGTGGAGATTGTAGACTGACAGAAACACTGTTCACATGTTTACGTGAGTTGTAATAACATCGGACTATTCCTGTACGTTACAAATATCATAACAGATGGTGCACAGAATACCAGCTAATATTTTCCGTCCGTCCATTATATTCAACGTTAAATGTAATATGACTGAACGTCAATGGATGCAACAGTTTGTTTGTTCAGAGGCGTTATCTTTTGCCCCACAATGCACGCGAGGATACAATGACACTTACGTTTTAAGCCTTTTATGGATGCTTTTGTGCATAACGCCACTCATTCCATTCAAATTGTTGTTGTTGTTGTTTTTACGATATTATAACATGACAACAAGGCTAGATTTTATTTAGACTGTTCGATTAAATAGCTACAGCTACGTTCCGTCACGCAAACAAATGCCTTACTTCAACCTTTTGCTTTTTTTATTTATTCAAAGCAGGAGTTTTTAACTAAAGCAAATCAAACTTAAAACATATTTTATTCCCACATCCAGTATTAACAATGGATATGATTAGATAGGGATTAACCTAACAGAAGAGGAAGGGAGGAAAAAAGGAGATGGGTTTACAAGCAATGTTACATATTAAAACATATTAACAAATAAGGTCAAACATGGTATTCTATGTGTTTTGATTGATTTGAGATTGTAATTGTGTGCATTTACATTTATTAAAGTAAATGTAAAACTTGCCGAAATGCATTTGGTTCATTCTTGTTACTTGTGCGATGCATGCATGCAATTGAGATGTCCTTGATTCACATACTGTGATAGGCAGAAAGGAAATATCCTATATTTACTTCAGCCCTTCCTTCCTCTCCCAATTACTGAGCTTCCTCTGACACAAAGATTTATTGTTAATATTGCAGTCTGTCCCTGAAATATCAAAAGGAAAATATTTTCAGTGTCTGTTTGCGGAGTTGTGTGAACTGTGGTTTTAAGTTACAGGTAGTGTTTGTCTTTTGTCTGAATCTTTTATCTGCTTCCATTCATGTTGATTTTTTTGTTCTTGTGCAGATTCACAAAACAGATTATTCTGAAGAAGTCAAAAGAGAAGAAATGGATCTTCTTATGTGCAGTATCACCTGGCCTGATATGGCAAAATTTGAACTTGATCTATACATTGGTACAATATTTTAATAATAGGGATGTAAATGCTCAGAATAAAAGTTGTTCTTTAAAAACACTTATAATTCAATAACACTTATTAAATGTAATATTTAGCAAATCTCAGAATGAATATTTTTTAGTAGTACTGTATTTATGTTGTTATGTTTATTCTATAAATACAAAATAGTATATAGTATTAGGCTAATTTTAATATCGCCCATTTATTAGTTATTGACCACAACATGAAAATATCGTATCAGGCAAACTTTTAATATTTGTACTTTTTTTTTTTTTTTTTTTTTTTTTTTGCTTATAAAATGTCAATTGCACATATTTTGGCCTCGCCTTTGTGAGCTGTATACGTCTGTTTTAGAAGTTGACTGATAATGGTTTTTACTGATAATAACGTTGGACCACACTGGCCAATAACCGATTGATTAACCAACTAATAGTTTTTTGAATGGATACTGAATGACAACAAAATACTCTTTTACCACTTGAAATGGTTAACCTGGGTCATTCTAAACCCCTGGTAAACGTAATCATGGGTTATCTTTACTCACATTTTACACTGCTCTTACTTTATTCTGGGTTACCAGTTCCAGCAATCGGTTATCTCTGCTGATTAACTGGCAAAACCAATCAACTTTTAATCTGTACGATACAAATGAAAATATACTAAAGTTTTTGTCTACTTCTTTTTGTGTCTTGTGTAATAGTAAAGCATAAAGTACATGCTGTACCACATCATGCATTTCTAAAGATTTGTCTTTGTGAGAGACCTAGTTTTGAAAGCTGCACCTTCCTCTGGAAGATTGCATTCTAACAGCACTACAGGTTTGATTCCTCAAACTATGTGTTCAAAGGTAGTCCAAAACACATGGTATACTACATTGCTGTTCTGTTGTATCTCAATTATATTTGAGAGCAACAGTGAGATAGCTATACACTGATGTAATTAGTCATAACGAAATCCAATCACAAGTGGTCCCAGAAGATGCATCTGAGATTAATTTATTATAAACAGCATTATGTAAACAATGAATTTTGGCTGGCCAGATAAAATACACCCAGTGGGCCCCATGTATAAGACTTTGCATAGATTTCATTCTAAAAGTATGTGAATGCACAAGTGGCAGATTTTGCATATACTTAAACAGGGTTTCCCGCAGTACTTTGAAACTAAGGCGGCCGCCTAAGCAACATATGGCTGTCGCCTTAACTATGTTGTAAAAAAATTATATGAGCGATATCCACCGTGTTACGCAGAACACGGCTTCTTTTATCAGCTTGACGTTGAACTAATGCTCCATGCTCGTACCATGATAACGTTACATCTGTGGTCTTATCTAGCATAAGGCATTTCACTAACTATTCGTGTCTCTTTCACAATCAGCAATGTCAACAACATAGGCCATTGTATAATATGATAACGAAAATAGTTAGTTAACTAGACTGAACAATTTCAGTCAGTGTAACAGTAAGATCGTAGGAAGTAACATTACTGTGCTGAACGTGTCTGGAAATGTGTATAAACAATATGATAGTATAGTGAGATGAGTGACGTTAGACAGTAGATCTAGTACATAAAGTAAGTTACATCCTAAAGCACCTACTTTTTGTTATTCTGGAACAGTCTTTTGTATTCATTTCATGTCTCATATATAGTTTACCTTGCTATTTCATTACGGTTTACCATTATTTCAGCATGTCTGAAAACTTGTAATTTATCGCAATAAGAATAGCGGAGGTCTCTCTCCATAATTCAAACAGTCTGCCAATGTTGGTCCGTGTTTTTGTCCTAAGTCGATCCAATTCACGTTTGGTCTGACAAGCTTCAGCAGATAAATGTTTGTTTTTTTATATTTATGTGGAGTTTGTGTTGTGCTGGAGGCAGGTCGTTTTTGGGTGTTATCAGACTCATGGCGTCAGCTGCAGTGCCGTCGCATAGACTGTATCCACAAGTTTCCTACGCCCCATGAGGCCTTGCGTCAAAAGTGGGCGCGTCTTCCGGTTCGAAGTAAACAAAGCGCGACTTGACATACTTCACACTCGTTCATTCAACAGTTGACAGTCATTCAAGTTATAGCGATCCAAACTAGCTAACGATGTGGGAACACAACCTCAACGAAATTAAAAAGGGTGAAGTAACAGTACCTTTATCCTCTGCAGTAGTTGGTTGGGAGTATTATAATACATTATTAATAATCAATACTCATCAAGGCATGGTGACAGACAGTTGTGTGAGCTGACAAACAATTAAAATAAAAAATACACACTTAGTCATTGTGCTTTGGAGTTTATTCAAAATTATAAATGAATGTGCTACTTGAATACATTAACTGGCACATTTGGTATTCTTTCAACTCAGGCTTTGATCCTGAGTTTAGGTGTAACATCAGTAGCGAACAGCCAAACACATGCTGATAGATTTTATAGAATATTAAGCATTTAAACAAATGTACATAGGAAGATTCGTCGTCTTTTGGAAGGTGATGGAAACTTTTTTTTTTTTTTTCTAATTTATACAATTATTCATGTACAAACAGTAAGGCAATAGTAACATTTTTTTTACATTAGGGAAACAAATAAATACAGTACAGGTGGAAACTGACGTTACAGTCGTTGGCAGGATCACTCTGATTTCGTTTTTATGTTCAAAACAATCACGTTTAAGCCACTGAATTAGTTTAGTCCGGTTATACATACAACCGCGAACAGCACATGTTGTCCCTGAGCTCCGTAACGACATCTCTCATAAAGATTTGCGTCTTTAAATAGTAAAATAATTCTCCGAAAAACAGCTAGCCTCTTCGCTAACTAACACACAAAATACCATTGGAATGCTACTTCCGCCGCCTTACCGGAAGTTTCACCCGCTTTATTTTTTTACAGGAGCGCCCCTCGGAAACTTGTGGATATAAAAGGAGAGAGGCTCGGATATTGTCCAAATATTGTCCCTTAATGGAAAAGGTGTGACTGCAGTCTTAAGTGGAAGAGGGGTACACATTGCAAACAGGGTTCAGTGGGACACTATTTTACCCATTTTTCTGTGCATTACTGTGTGGTACTGCTCATTCCACTAATAGCACACCTGTGTGGGACAGAACAGTACAGACATCATATGAATCCAGGCTGCCATTCTCAAACTAATGGTCCATTTGACTACCAGGTGCGTCTGGCAGTGGCAGTTTCATCATACAGTCTGTCTGATTAAAAACAATTACTTTCAACCTTCATTCTGACCCTCTGTCAGGTATCCTTTTGTGCATATACAAGTAAGTTGTAATGGTTGTAATAATCTAATCTGATTAAT